CGCACTACCGATCCTGCTGGACGACGTGCGCTGCGCGGGCAGCGAGCGCAACCTGCTGGAGTGCGCGCACGCTGGCGTGGGCACGCATAACTGTAAGCACGAAGAGGACGCTGGCGTCGAGTGCAGCCACCAAGACCCGGACCTATAGCCAGGCGTCACCTGCCTGGCTGTGCCACCCTGCGAAGATGGAGCCGAGAATGGCCCCTTCGGTCTGCGGGCACCCTGTGCAGCACGCACAAACCATGGTGAAGGGCCCAAGAGACGGTTCCTCTTCATGTGACCTCTGTGTCTCCCTGTGTGTGTGTGTGGTTTGTGGATAAGATCTCTTATCTCTCAGCACTCCGGAGAGGGAGAGCGGGGGCAGGGACTATTCAGGAGTGGGGTGGGGGAGGCTGGCTGTCTTTACAGTGTTAGACTAGGGAAGGAGTCAGGCGTCCCCTGCCAGGGCTGAGTGACAGGCTCCAGACCACCAAGAGTGCAGCCTGAGAAACAGGGCCAGAGCGTAGGCGGGTGACCCAGCAGTTCCAAGCACTGCAGAAAAAGAACAGGCAGTCTGAAAGCCACAGCGGAGGATCTTATAGGGTCAGGGGGCCTGTGGCCATTTGCAGCCCATCAGGGATGAGGCTGCTGAAGGGAATTAAGAGCCCATGAGGGAAAGCAGACTAGAGGGCCTGGAGGACCTTGGAGGCCACTTGCTGCGCCCTGCAGGCACCCTGGAAAGGCTACTGAGTCCCCTCCATCCCTGAAGCCTGACCATTGCGTATTCCTGAGACAGAAGCACCCTTAGGCTCACACTCGGTCCCTTTGGCCTCTGGGCCCCAGTTGGGGGGATGGGGGTGGACCTCTACTTTCATCCTCTACTGTCTCCATCACCTCCCAGGGGATCCTCAGACTCCCAGGGGATCCTCAGATTCCTCCGCCAGATCTGTGGGCTAAGAAGCCTGTGGGACCTCAAGACTACTCATCTCAACAATTTGACTATTTGCAATCCTTCCTCCTTTTATCACCCACCACACACCTGGAAGCTGGGATGCCAGGTGAGGGACAGAGTGAAGAGGGCGGGGCCTTCAGCTTCACTCCTGCCCTGTGGGAAGAGCGCCTTGCTCACGGGAGGCCTCAGGGTAGCTCTGGATAGTTGTAATTTAGCTTGAGATAGGGGTGGAGCCATGAAAACAAATGAGTCACCAGGCAGGGAGGACAGGACGTGACCTGTGTCAGGCAGTTGTGGCCAGGGATCTGGGTTAGGTTTCTGGCCCAACCTTTGCAGGAAAATGTCATTCCTGCACTGAGTTCTGATCTGAAGAGGCCTGTGTGCTGTTGCAGGCAAAGGAACTGGTGCAGGCTCAGGCTGTGTGCTGTGTGCTCCTATCCATCACTGCTGCGAGGGGAACGGGAGGGTCGCCCTGGGCTGCTCTGCAGCTTTGGAGGCTGGTTGTTCCCGGAAATAAATAAGAAAGTTACTGAACTGTTAGGAAATGACAGGAAAGGAAAGCATCGCTTCCCGGAGCAAAGCTGTGCAGCCACAAGGCTGGGGAGCCGGGGAGCCCGTGTCTTAGGCAGCTTTGCATTGTAGTTTCAGGAGGGGGTGCAGAGTGTCCACACAGTCTATTCTGGTTATTGATAGGAGGGGGAGGCTTGGGAGTGGAGGACAGTGCTGAGCAGGTGCAATTGGCTTGTCAGGACTAGCTAGGAAGGTTTTGTTATTGTTTTTTTTTTTTTTTCTCTTTGCTCTTTACTCTTTTGGGGGGCTGCCACCCAGCTCCCAAATAAATAGATGGAGGCCAGCTGTGTTAGAGGGGGGCATGCTATATGGAGGGACTTGCATTGGGGTGACATAGGAAGAAACAAACCAAATGAGAAAAGTGAGCCCCTTCAAGCTAACATGGCGAAATCTAGGCTTCCAGTTGGGTGTCTGGCCTCTCACCCATTTCTTTGTGAAAAACCAGCCTTCATGCAGAACTTGCTTCTGGCCAGGAGCCTCGGGTGTGTCAGCTCACTTCATCCTGATGGGGCCCCAGCACTTCCAACATCACCATCCCTCTCTCCATCCTCATGATGGCTGTGAATTGGTGCCCAGGGCTTTGATCATGGTGTTGTATCTTAGCAACAGTAACCCCGATACAGGGAACATTTACAGTGGTAGTTTGCAGAATCAGCACATGAGTGGCAGGACCCCATCTTGATTTTGACCCAGTTGTAGATTTTGTTGTTTGAGTTCCTGTGTGATGGGATTGCTGTGACTTAAGGGCCATGCTCTGGGGTTGCTGTCTGTGTTCTACTGTCCGATGGAAGTGTGTGAACCATGGAGGCAGCCAAGTTTCCTGAAGTTGTGTTAAGAGTAAAATATTTTTTACTCTTTAATTAAAAATTATTTTATAAACTGGGCAGTTGTGTTCATGTCCTTAATCCCATTTCTCAGGAAGCAGAGCCAGCCTGGTCTACAGAGTGAGTTCCAGGATAGCCAGGGCTACACAGAGAAACCTTGTCTCAAAACAAAAAACAAACAAAAAAACCCACAAAAATATTATTTAATTTGCATTGGTGTTTTGCATGCATGTATGTCTGTGTACCATGTGTGTGCCTCGTTTCTGCTGAGGCCAGAAGAGGGCATCAGATTCCCTGGAACCGGAGTTACAGATGATTATGAGCCACCATGTAGGTGCTGGGAATCAAACCTGGGTCTTCTAGAAGATCATTCAGTGCTCTTAAATGCCCATCCATCTCTCCAGTCCCCCTTCATTTGGAAATATTTTATTTAATTCAGAATATTCTAACAGGAATAAATAAAACATCTAGGGGCTTGGCATGGTGGCATACACTTGAAATCCCAGCAACAGTGAGGTGGAGTTGGAGACTGGAAAACCCCTGGAAGCTCAATGGCCAGCTAGCCTAGGCTGCTTGATAAAGTTCCAGGCCAATGAGGGACCTTGTCTCAGAGAATAAGATGCTTCTGAGAACGGATACCTGAAGCTGTGTTCTTGATCTCCAAATGCACAGGCACCTCCACCACACACACACACTAACATATCGATTACTTAAAAATAACCTCTGCCGGGCAGGAGAGGTAACTAGGCAGTTAAGGGTTCTTGTTGCGCAAGAACTGTAGTTGAGATTCCAGGACCCACCCAACACGCCGGACATCCTGTTCACACCTCTAACCCAGCCCCAAGGGGAACAGAGACATGCCAGGCATCCTGGTCACACCTGTGACCCAGCCCCAAGGGGGAACTGAGACAGGATTGCTGGTGATTGCTGGCTTGTAGCAGGCTTTCTTTTGGGCCCCCAACCAGCTCCCAAATCATGACACAGAGACTTAATGCTGGGCTTTAGCTTAGGTTCATTTCTTGCTGGCTCTTTAACTGAATTTAACCTGTTTCTCTTCATCTACATTTTGCCTTGGGCTTTTTCCATGTCTGGCTGGCTGCCACCTGGTTGGCTGGTCCTGGGCTTCTCCCTCTCTTTCTGCCTCATTCTCTCTCCTCTCATTCTCCCCTAGATTTCTCCTCCTACTTATTCTCTCTGCCCACCAGCTCTGCCTATCCTCTACTTCCTAGCTACTTCCACAGTTCAACTTTTTATTAGACCAATTAGGTGCCTGAGGCAGGCAAAGCAACACATCTTTACATCATTAAACAAATACTTTGCTATATAAACAAATGAAACGCATCCTTTCATAGTTAAAGCAATATTCCATAACACTGGCTTCTAACCTAGCTGAGAAAATGTGAGTCCCAGTTTCTTGGAGAGATCACCTCAAAGGAATAGGTGATGAGTGATAGAGGACACCTGACATCCTTTTCTGTTATACACACACACACACACACACACACACACACACACACACACACAAATTCTGGCTATTAAATTCCTGAAATCTGGTATGTATTTTACACACATGCATATACACACAATACATATTTGGACTATGCCTCTTTCAATCGATAGTCTCATGTGGCCTGTGGCTGGCCTGTTTATTGGGTGGTATTAGTGTAGATCTCAGTGAAGGGCCAGGTGGCAGGCAGTGTGCTTTGCTGGCCATTGGCCACCTGCTCAGTAAGGGCAGCCAGCCAGCCCTGGGACCTAGGGCCTTGGTGAGCAGCCCCCAACTAATTACAGAGTTAGGAGCATTAGATGGAGGCATAGCAACAGAGCAGATGTGGGGCCTGAGCAGGGTCACTACTGACACACCCTAGCCAGGAACAGGGAGAGAGAGAGAGAGAGAGAGAGAGAGAGAGAGAGAGAGGAGAGAGAGAGAGAGAGAGAAAGAGTGTGTGGTGATCTGACCCTGCTGAGCCAGAGGTCCCAAGTGTTGCCTGATGGGTCGGCGAATATTGTTACCTCCCCTTTCCTTAGCATTTCCTGTGTGGACAGGCTCAGACTGCCAGCAGCCCATCAAAACCTGGCCTTGCCTCCAAGGAATCTCTGTTCAGAGTCCAGGCAGACAAGACAACATAAAGTTAGCTTCACACGTCTAGGGATGTCTTCTAAGCTCAGGATGGGGCTTCATAACTGGGTCCCTAAAGGGATTATGCATGCTACTCTGTGTCCGGCTCCCACAGTATTGAAGATTGAACCCAGGACTTTGCACTGCGTATTTACAGACAAATACTAACCCTAACGCTAGATTGCTAACCCTTTTTAAAGTTTTAAAACAGGGTCTTAAGTTGCGCAGGCTTGAGAGTTCAAGGCCTAGATTTTTTAGTTGAGATACTCTATGTAGCCCTGGCTGTCTGTGTAGTCCTGGTCTGCTGCTCTGCTTTCTGAGTGCAGAGATTCAAGGTGTGCCACGGCGCCCACCTCGTCTAGAACTTTCGATCC